GTCGCAAGCCATTTAAAAACAAACATCTGGAAATATATGAAACCTTTCACACAAGTGGCATGGCACGTTGCATGTGCCACGTGTGACCCTGTGCGATGCCAAGATCCCACTTGTCAGTCTTTTTCAGCATGCGATCTGCCTCGGACTGTGTCAAATTTTGATGGAGCTTTTACATCCAAAGTTATTATTAGGCAAATTTATTTAAAATGGTAAAATCAAATAACATGATATATAAAGAAAACTCTTGGATGTATGGCATACATAGAGTAGTTTTAAAGTGTCTAAACAGATTTCCGCCAAATACATTTGGCAACACTTGAGTCGCCCAGTGAGAGAGGCTTTGAATGAGAAGCTAATCAATCGCGATTTTGTAGGGAAAAAATGCGATATATACCTGCTCAAGCACAACTATGACTCTTCGAGACTGTGAATCAATCAACATAACATTTGATCATTTTACCACAAATAATAATTAAAAAAAAATAAATAAGAGGACAAGCCCAATCCATTAAGCAACTGCGATGTGCTGCGCCACTTCTATGTGAAAAGTTTCATGTGTTTCCATACATTCATTTTCAAGTGGCGTGCCACATGCCTTTTGGTGAGAAAGCACCGTGTTCACACCACTAGGGGATAGCCCTCGTGCATACCCACGCTCGCTATCTGCCTGCACCGAAATATAGCCCAAGCCTGCCTTGGGCACTCATCAGGCCTAAAAGAGGTCAGCAGAGGTTGACTATGTCTCAACCTCGGCGAGCCTGCCCTCAGCAGGGTGGGTCTCGCTCATCCTCAGTTATTCGCTCACGCTGCCTGCCTGCTGGCCGGGTGATGACCACTCCACGAGGCCACTTCCATGTTTGGGCTCACTGGCCTCTGCTTCCACCAGCATCAAGAGTCATATTGTGTTTATATCCAAGTGTGTGGTACTCTAACCAATAAACAGGACAGCCATGTCAGTGTATCACTACTGTCCACCAGTATTATCCATATAGGAGGTTAACACCTCATATCTGGAGGCAGCGGTGGGATCAGATATAAGAGGTGTTAACCACCTACATGGATAATACTGGTGGGCAGTAAGGATACACCGACGTTGCCGCCACTATTACTTGCAAGTAGCTTCAGCCAAATAGGTTGTTGCAGGGAACTCTTGTGCTACCCCACCACTATATGATTAAGTTCCCTGTCATTAAAAGTTCCAGTAATGAAATCCTTCGTTACAGACGTCGCCGTAGATCCTATAGTGATTAAGCTATTGCTCTTGACCTTGCCGACAATCAACATCACGATCCCCAAATTACATCTAGGGGATGTTAGTAAGTTTCAGGACGCGGACATGGGGTTGTCAGAATTTCATATACTTTTATTATCCTGTATATGTTACCTTGATAGGCATGATTCTTCTTTTATTAGTGTTTGGGGCATGCTATGCAAAAGCATATTGGATGCATAGGAAAGGCAAACAAATCCGCAGTAAGGCCGCTGAACGTGCTGCCTCGGGTCTCCCATGTCAAGTCCGGTGGAAGACGAGGACGTACGCCCGACGTCAGCCGATCCGTGTCTCAGCGGACGAAGCAGTATGAACATCAGGTCAACCTCGAGGAGGAGCTGTTTTCAACACCTCGAGGGCGAGGCGAGGGTAGGTGGCAGAGTGATATGGCAGTCACTATCAATATGGTATACCATATTCATGCACAAGGTGTAGACCGCATGACGTAGTTCTAAATATACGCCCGCGTGTACGCCACCGAGGTGGCCTGGGTCGGATATATAGGCTGACCCGGTTTGACCTCGCTCAATCACTCATCACTACCCTTCGAGACAGAATCGACCCCGCACGGACCTTCCCGACATCACCCGTGGCGCAGCTGACCCCGACAAGCTACCTACCAAGATACCACCAAGCGCGGCTAACTCACGTCGTGACGCTCTCCAGATAAAGTGGCAAAACAACAACGAAGTGTTTGTTTCTGAACCTGCCATGCAATATAGTGGGACTCTCGATAACTGAATTAGAGACCATTAGACACACACACACACATATGTGTGTATATATATACATATGTGTGTGTGTGTGTGTACATACATATATATATATATATATATATATATATATATATATATATATATATATATATATATAATATATAATATATATATATATATATATATATATATATATGTGTGTGTGTGTGTGTGTGTGTGTGTGTGTGTGTGTGTGTGTGTGTGTGTGTGTGTGTGTGTATATATGTATATATATGTGTATATATATGTTGTGTGTGTGTGTACACACACACACACACAAACATATATATATATATATATATATATATATATATATATATATATATATATATATGCATACATCATCATTCGGGAGCTAACGCCGACGCGGGAGCATACCCGCGTCCACCCTTCGTTTCCACCTGCGAGGGTTCTTCATGGCGAGTCGTCAGGCAGAGGTTCAGCCCATTTCAAGCTCTTCACAACAGGTTTGATTGATCTGCTCAAGCCACGACATCCAGGCTCACGATGTAACCGTTGGTTAAACACATCAATTGTACTACATCTTTTGCAATGTCCAATTACAAAAGGCATCAAGACGAGCTTCCAAGGCACAGGTCCAGGTAAAATTGGCAGTATCAGGGTCCTGGAGACATAGCTTGCTCCTTCTGCACAGGTACTTGCATCTTAAATGCTCTTGCTGAGAGAGTTGAAACCCCTGCTGCCAGGTCAATCCGTCTACTGACTTCATGGTCCGACAACCCAGCATTTTGAACTACACTACCAAGGTATGTAAAGTTCTCTGTGACTTCAGGGTCCCTGCCGCAACCATGTACCAACCGAACAGGTTCTCCTAGCAGGCCTTCAAATTCCTGGACCTTGGTCTAAGCCCAGATGGAATAGCAACATCATCAGCCCAAAGTTGCTCTTCAATGACTTTGCCCAGGCCAGTCAGTTCCATTGTGTTGAAAAGTGCTCTTGCAAGGACTAACAGGAAAAAAGCTTAACCAGCCCCAACACCTTACAGCTCTTACACTGCCAGTATACAGCTTGATATAATCCAGTGATCCTTGTTGGATGTCCACTCAATCTCAAAATCTCCCAGAGTGATTTCCGAAGCAAAGTATCGAATGCCTTCTTGAGGTCGATATAAGCTACAAGCAACAGTGACTTGAAGCGCCAGGATACAGTCTATTGTGGACTTCCCAGGAGTAAATCCAGATTGCCCCGGCCTCTGGTACCTCAGTAGGTGGTCTCTAATGTCTCAAAAGGATATGAATTTGAACCTTGCCTGGTATACTGAGCACTTCGGTGATTGTTGCAGTCCCATCAATCCCCATTCCCATTCCAGAGAGGGATTACCACATCTCTCATCAGGTCAAGAGGAATGGTACCAGACTGCCAAATGGCAGCCAGAACAGCACACAAACCCCGCGCCAAAGGTTCACCACCAGCCTTTAACAGTTCAGGTGGGATGCCGCAGTTACCATTACCACATTTCAGCTGGGAGATTGTCCTCTTTACTTCAGTTAAGGAAGATGATGGAAGGGTCCGGCAAAGGAATCTCGACACTACCCGCATCCAAGTTAATTGTTGGTAGATCAACTGTGTACAACTGCTCAAAATACTCAGCCCAACGCTCCCGCACCCCAACAGGATCTGAGCTGATCTGGCCAATTACTGAACGGACTGCAGTCGCCTGTGAAGAGGGCTTGGAGTTCAGCGTTCTCAGGGCTTGGTAGGCAGGACGAGGGTCATTTATTAAGATATGGCCTTCGACCTCCTCTACAGCGCTCCTAATAAATCTGGTAACCGCGCGACAAGCTTCTGTTGCTTCCAGTGTCTCTTGCCAGACAGAATTCCGTCTTGCTCGCGGTGTTCAGGAATCGATATATGTATACATACATACGTATATATATATATATATATATATATATATGTGTGTGTGTGTGTGTGTGTGTGTGTGTGTGTGTGTGTGTGTGTGTTAAGGATATATATATATATATATATATATATATATATATATATATATATATATATATATATATATACTATATATATATATATATATATATATATATATATATATATATATATATATATATATATATATGTATATATATATATATATATATATATATATATATATATATATATATATATATATATATATATATATATGTGTGTGTGTGTGTGTGTGTGTGTGTGTGTGTGTGTGTATACATATATGCATGTGTATATATATGTATCATTATGTATATATATATATATATATATATATATATATATATATATATATATATATATATATATATATATATATATATATTATATATATATACATTTGTGTGTGTGTGTGTTCCTAAAGGACCAAATGAAGTTTTATTGGAAAACATTGAGAGCAAAAGCTTCAAGAACATACTGCAGATGCTCCTCCCCTTTGGTCAGAGGACTACAGAATTCTTGCAGCAGCGCAAAGCGTTCAGCAGTCATTGGTTACAGCCAGAGTTGATGCTAAAGCCATTATTATTTGGAGGTCGGTATTTCCTTCCCTCTGGGTTGCTGGCGATGGCAAGAACCCATCTGGCAACTCCAACTGCTTCAGTGGCATTCTGGAGTGTTTTCTTGTAGTTTGCTGGTGACTTTCATTGCAACAGTAACACGTCCAGTGCAAGGCGACATTGCAGATCCCTTTATGGATTGCACTGCAGCAATTTTATTAAGGTTGTCATTCTGGGAATGGCTTCACAGCACGCGAGGTATGATATAAATTATGGAGAAGAATATGCACATGTCACGTAGCCCTCGCTGTTCCTTTGCAGTAGGTGTGAACTAGGGATGAAGCATCCAAACCATGAATGTGTAGATGACCTGATGCTTAGCTACAAGAGCAGCAAATCGTGTTCAACGAGGGGACCAGACACCAAGGGAAAGCATGACAATCGCAGGCAGCTCCCCTTCATTGCCTTTGACAGATCTTCCGTGTTTCGTCTTAA